TGAATTATTGAATTTCTTACAAAATTTATTTAAATTTTTGTAAATCAAATCTAATCTCCATAAAAAAAATTCACTTCAATCCAATTAATAAATTGCTATAGATATTAAAAATATTCATTAACTCTCAAACTATAATTTTTGAGATTTTAATCTATAAAAAATTTATACACTTTAATCTAACTATTTGATTGACCTTAAATTTATAACATATATTATGCACAACTATATTCATTAATCTACAAAATTTCACTTGTAGATCTCCTACAAAACTTTTGAAATTGCTCAAATTGTCAACCATGTTTTATTTCATATAATCCCTAGTCATCCAAAACAACCTTGACTTTGTAAAGCTATTATAATGTCATTACAAATCCAAATTATACAAAACTAATGCTTATAAAAACCTTATAAAGTCTGCTATCAAATTCCACTTTTCAATCTATCAAAGAACTCCTCAGTCACTATTGGTACATGATTTTGTGCCTTGGGGTCTAATTTTGATCTAAGTTCATAATTAGTCTTCTTTGGATATCAATTTTTCGCTTCTTGAGATAAATTTTACTAAAATCTATTCTTAATTCCATCTTAAACATGCCTATATCATTTTATTTTCTAATCTATTTTTTTTACATTATTTATGGTCCTACAAAATAAATAGAAGCATATTTTTTAAAAAGAAACAATAATATTTTTTAATTTTACTATCTTTTTGACTATTACCTAATTTCTAAGTTAATTTGCTATAATATTTTAAAGTAAGATCTTCTATAATATAATATTTTCTTCTATCTTTCATTCATTAGTTGTATTATATCATGTTAATATATAAATCAAGTTTTAGAGCAATATTTGAAGTGTACTATCAACTACCAATAAAAATAATTGGACAACTCTTTTGCCATTGGCAAAGTTTATTTATAATAACACAATATATTCTTCTATGCAATATTTTTTTATTATTATTAATTATGGTTATCATCTATAACTTGATGCTTTTGACTTTTTAAAAGTTAATAATCCTATAGCAGAAGATTTGGCAAATCATTTATCCGAATTACATACAACAATTAAGGTGCAACTAAAAGAAGCTCAAGAATAATAGAAAAAAAAAAAAAAATGCAGATGCATATTGCAAGCACCAATCGTATTTCTACATTTGTGATAAGATATAATTATTTTGTTGTAATAATAAAATTATTTGCACTTGTCACAAGTTGGATTAATATAGATTTATATAATTTTTTATTTATAAATAAGTCAATCTAGTTGCTTATTGATTACATCTACTAGAGTCTATGAAAATCCATCCTATATTTTTTATGTCTATTTTGAAGCCATATAAGACAATAAATATTCCAAGAAAAAGAAAATACCACCACCTCCTATAGAAGTGGATAACAATCAAGAATTCGAAGTAGAAGAAGATTTAAATTTAAGGCAATGCCAACTTAGATTGAAATATCTTATTTATTGGCACAAATATAATATTAGCATATATATATGGAAGCTAGTAATTTTTTGTACAAATGTAGGAGAAAAGGTCAAAACTTTTCATCAATGACATCTATTAAAACTAAGATAAAGCATGGCAAACCTTTCTTATAAAAGAAACATAATTTAAAAAAGATTACCTCTTAAATATGTAGAAAATTCATTATAGATAGTAACACTATATTAAAAGTGATTTTTAATTCTTAATAATATAATTAGATATAAATACTATGTTGTAGTAATACGTGAAGTCTCGCTTGAGAATACTCCGGGCATCTGACTATGGAAGAAAGAATGGAAATTGTAATAATAAAATCTTATTTCTAATAGAATACTAATAATACTCTAATTAGACCATAATAATGGTAAGCAAGCTTAATCAAATTCAAAGAAACCTTAGAGAAATTTCAAACAAACAATAAGAATTCTTAAAGAAATATTAGAAGAATCACAAATATCACTCAAATACATTTCAATTCAATCTTAATTTAATTCTACTTAAAATCCTATTAAACTTCATTCAAAATTTAGGCCAAAACTAATTGAATCTTAAATCCTAATAAAATCTTAAATCCTAAATCAAACCCTAAACAAACCTTAAACCAAATCACAACCAAATCCTAAATCCTAAATCAAACCCTAATCAAATTCTAATTCAAATCCTAAATCCTAAATCAAATCCTAATCTAAATCCTAAATCCTAAACCAAACTCTAACTAAATCCTAAACCCTAAATCAAATCCTAACCAAATCCTAAATCCTAAATAAAACCCTAATCAAACCCTAAACTAAATTCTAATCCAAAATCTAAACCCTAAACCCTAAACCAAACCCTAAAAAAATCCTAAACCCTAAATCAAACCCTAACCAAATCCTAAACCAAATCCTAGTAATTCTTGCAACAGATTTAAACCTCAATAACTAATGAATAAATCGTCGATCTTAATTCAAATTTTTCACACTTCTAAAAAATAAGTTAAAAATAAGCATCAAAAAATTGAAAAGGATCGGAGTTACCAAATTGATAATAACTTCAAAAATGTGCTCGGGTATTGGCCAGCCTCCTTCTCTAATCTTGATGCCAATCTTCCAAAGCCGATATCTCTCCTTTGCACCGTTCGATTGATCTCTAAATTTTCATGCACATAGAAAAATAAGTCTAATATCCTTTCACATAAGTTTCACTCCAATCCAAGCAGTAGATTGCAAGAAATCTTAAAACCCTCAATGGACCTAAAATTCTACTTTATGAGACCTTGACCCACTTAAACCTCAATATACTTTAATTCAACTGTTAGATCGAGCTCAAATTTACAACACATGTTGAACACAACTATAACCATAAATCCACAGAATTTCAACTATAGATCCGCTATAAAACTCTTGAAATCATCCAAAACGTAAATCCTATTTTATTTCATAAAACCCAAGTCATCCGAAACAAACCTTGACTTTGCAAAGCTCTTACAAAGTCATAACAACTCCAAATCACCCAAAATCAACACCTATAGAAACCTTATTCAATTTGCTATCAAATCCCACTCTCCGATCTGCCAAAGAGTCTCGGAGTCGTCGTCGAGACTCGGTTTTGTGCCTCACAGTCTAATTTCGACCCTGGTTCATAACCGGCCCTCTCCGAGTATCAACATCTAGTATTTTTTTTTAAGTAATTTTTACTAGAATTGACTCTTAACTTCCTCCTAAAGATGTCTATATCATTTATTTTTCCAATCTACCCTATTTTGCCTTGTTTTTGGCCCTACAAAGTAAGTAGAAGCTATTTTTTCTAATATGGCAGCATTACTACTAAAAGTTTTACTACCTTCCTATCGTTTATCCATATTTTTCTACCTTTTCTTTTAACTTGGCTCTTCTATAATAAGATCCATATTATCACCATATAGTCATGTTACAACATGATAACATTTTATGGTTAACAAAATATATTATTTGATGGTAATTATGAAGGCATTAACAATTATCAAATAATTGGATGTTTATTCAAATCTAAATAATCATAAAAAAATATAAAATTTAAAAAGTATATAATAAAAAAATAAAGTATTATATATATGCTTTAAAAATATTATTTTTTATTTTTTAAATTCAAACTCTTTAAGTTATTAATAAATATATTTAAAAAAAATTGTCTTTGATGGTTCATATTATCTTACAATTATTACTAAATTACTATAAGCTTAATGAATTAAGTGCATTTGGATTTTATCACAAATATTTATTACAATAGATATTATTTTAGCTTAATATTTTAACTTAAATTTTTGGATATATATTAAGTTTTTTAATATTTTTAAATAGTATCATTATTTTTTTTTCCAATTTTTTTTGTTGTAGTAACTTTAAAAGTGAAATTTGATGTATATTACTTTGTATTTTAAATATTCCTAGAATTGCATTAATGTATATATCTATTCCCTACCAGTGATGAAATGAAGCACCTTAGTACTATTCTTTGTTTGCATCTTGAATTCTTTAAGTCTCTTTAAACATTTATTGTAACCTTAAGCAAAGACAATCAAATTTAAATTTAACTATTGCAAAATTTATTTCTTAGGTTTATGAAGATAGATTATCTAATTTTTAAGCATTTAATAACTTAACTACCAATGCATTGTACAACAAAATTACTGTAATCACAAATAGGTTGGAAGCTGTTAGAAAAGTACTAAGGTTTTTTTTCAACAAAAAATCAATTTAATTTCAGTAAAAAAAATTTATTTTCAAAGTAGCCAAATAAAAGATGTAGAAAATAGTAAATTGTCAACAAAAAAAATTATAGAAATGTGGTTCGTTTTTTATTTAGAAATAAAACTATCTATATATATATATATATATATATATATACATATATATATATTACATTAAACTAAATCAGATATGATAAAACAGGAAGGAAAAGTGAAAGGGAGGAGAGGAATAGTTACAGAATAACTAGATACATTAGGAGCTTATTGGATGTATTTCAAAAAAGTCTCGAACTAATTCAAGAGAAACAGAATGAATATACATACACACACACATGTAACTTAAAGTTTTTTTAATTTAGAGAATGACATGATTAAATATATCCCAAGACATAATTTCATAGTAAATGTGGTTAAGATAATGAATGAAATTTTAGGAACTATATATGAGTTCTAATATAAAAGCATGTGCGACTGCAGATTGCCAGAGGGACGGACCCCCAAGATACCGACGTGGACAAAACGACAGCAAGTCGATGCACAAAACAACACAAGGGGCTGATTCCACGTATGTACTTTTCAATCACAACAACCAATCCTCATCCGAGCTGGCTGCTTACATGGCAAGAACGCCACGTCCCCCGATGACCTCCCCCTTCCCCCGACCCGACCCAACCCGTCCCCGGCCCAGCCCGTGATGAACCCGTGACACGCTTGCCGTGGGGCGTCGCTGCGTCACGGCGTCTCGGCAGCGTTGCAGCAGCACCACCAGGAGGAGCATGTGGTGGTGATAAGCCAAGTGTAGCCTGCGCGCTACTATCCTCTTCGCCAGCTCCCCACTTTGCGCATTTTTGCTGCCCAACGAGCTTTCATGTTCACCTCTGTCGCGCACAACTTGTCGCTGTGAGTCGGCGTTGCAGTGAGTTATTCATATCAAGCTCGGACTTTTCCCGCCGGGTTTGGAATCGCCGGATTGCCACGGGTGGAATTTGTTGTGGTAGTGGTGTTTGGTAATTGTGGGGGTGCTTGGAACTCTGAATTAATCTCGTTAGTTCGCTCTCGAAGTTTTGGTTGTGGTTAAATTTGTCTCCGTCCTTTGCGAAGAATTTTTTTTACTGTCGTTGTTTGGATACGGTCGAGGTGGTCGCGCGCACTTTCTCGGTTTCGGTTTCGCATTGCGTGAATGATCCTTTTTGTAGTTTTTGGATGTTTTTGTAATTGGGCTTCTACTTACTGCATGTAGATTTGACGGAAAATTTGATTATGTACGTTTTAGAATGTGAATGTCAGTTTTATTGGGTACAATCCATCAGCAATACGAACTTGCAAACTATAAGACTTTGGGTTTCCCGTCATGGACTTCTCTGTGATGGTTGTGTATTGTCTTTTCATTGTGTGCGAATTCTATTCGTTTTGCTCTCAGCGATGGTGAGCTAATTGTATGGGTTTGTAGTTTTCTTGTCATCTTTCAGTTCCAGACTTTTCTGCATTTGTAGATTTGTGATTAATACATGTGAACGGATACCAGTTGGTTGTGATTGAGAGACAGTGCTGGACACTCTTGATTGTCCAGGTTTGGCACGTTAGATAAATTTCTGCGAAAAGATATAGAGCAACTCTTGTGTTGATGACTCGCAGGCAACATACTCGCATTGTTAGTTTTCATTGTGTCTTCCATTTCTGTTTTATTTATTTATTTATTTATTTATATATATGTAAGTGGCTGTATATGTCCTAGTAAAGTTTGAGAGCATTAATGAATTGCCTGGTAGGTATTCTGTGTCTTCATTTATAGACTATCTTCTACCAAGTTTGCATTAGTGTGATTAGCGCGCATGTTAATGTGCTCATGACTGATGTCGGGGTTTTTCCTCTATTCTGCGTAGTCGTCAATTTGTTTTCAACGCTGATTTGTTGACAGTGTAGCCATTGTTGGAGAACGAAACTTTGCCGGACGACTGTTGTTTTTGGAAACTTCTGGATGGATCGGTGTGGAGACTGCGTTTACAGATGATACAGAAATTATATTCTAACAGATTTGTTCTAATGCAGAGTAAGTGAAGAACATCATCGTCCTGAAATATATGGCTTTGATGGCGGTATCCATGGCAGGACTTTCTGGGGCCGTGTCTTTCGAAGTCGGTGCTAGAGCCTTAGTAAGTGTGGGCTGCATCAAAATTCTAGAGTGCTTATATGTGTACACCCAGGAATGATTATGGGTGTTCAATTTGAGTCCATTGTTTCCATTTTGTGACATATTACATCACATTCATGTAACTCAAAATGCTGAAATTCATGTCGTTTTTTATAGTTTCCTTGCTTGATCCCTCAGCATTTTTTGATTGTGACATAATTCAAGTTCCAGATTTTATCAGCTAGTGATTAGAGCATTTCAGGATGCGAACTATATTTCCTAGCGATTTTTCTTTATCTCTCGTAATTAGCTTTTGGAATTAGTTTACATGGGTTTGACCTCTTTCGAGGATCCTTGAAAAGGACTCCTGTGAGAGTTTCAGCGCCGCATGTTTTGTACGGACCAGAATGGCTTTTTATTATTTATTCTTAGTTTTACTTGATTTTTTTTCTTTTTCTTAGTACTATCGTTATTCTGATTATTATTCTAGCGAGCTGCCATCTAACTGTCGAATAGTCGTCTTTGGTGACAATTGATTGACGAGCAACGTCTTGTGTATCTTTTGGTGCAGAAGGACGCGAGAATGTCTGCCATGGATATGTCTTCCTTATCAGGCTGCAGTCTTCAAGGTTCATTTTGCCCTGTATTTGTTTCTAATATTCAGCTTCTATTGGCAACCATGATTGACCCTCAACCACAATTGAAGCAAAGAAATTGTACCGAAGTCTTGCATCCATTTTTTAGTGCTCCCTTATGTTGAAGATTTCATCGCATGTCTGCAGTTAAGGGCAGCAAGAAATCATCTTTCCCGGCGGTCAAGGCTACTCCAGGTGTGAGGTGTATGGGAGCAGAAGTGCCTCCAGCTTGGCCTGGGAGGGCTGTCGCGGAGGAAGTCAAGATCAGAAATGGCCCCAAACCTATTTCCCTCATTGGATCGACCGGTTCTATTGGCACACAGGTGGGATATGTTCGCCTGGCAAAAAATAGTTTTTACCCAACCGAATTCTCGATCCGTGGATGAGATCATTCTACGAGGGTGCATTAGGAGTCAATTGTTATGGCATCTGGCCATCGTTGTTGAGCTTTTATCAGGTTTTTAATTTTGTTAATTATGAAATTTTGCGAATGATGAGTTCGAAAGAGGAACCACTTAGAGTTTGCTGCTGATTGAGATACAAACTTCATCATGGTGTTGACTTATCGGTGTAGGATCTGATCGCTTAATTTTTATTTCGGATTGTAGACGCTGGACATTGTTGCCGAGAATCCGGACAGATTCAAGGTCGTGGCTTTGGCTGCTGGCTCCAATATCACTCTTTTGGCTGAACAGGTCATTGCCTCACTACCGAATTTACACCATTTAGTATCCAATATTATCATTTTCCTATGGTGGAACTCTTATTTTTTTGTGGTGTTTATTAAATCTTTGCATATTTGAGCAATCTATTTCAGATTAAGGTGTTCAAACCCAGCCTTGTGGCAGTCAAGGAGGCCTCATCAGTGCCTGCACTAAGAGAAGCTCTTGCTGGCTTGGAAAAGCTTCCAGAGATCATGGTTGGCGATGAAGGCATTGTGGAGGTTAGTCTTTGTCTTGCTGCATTTATACTGCACCCACGAAGGAACTTCTTTAGTTCCCGTTGTCTTGACATAGTTTCTGATTTATGTGTTCGTGCTTTAACTATTATCATCATGAATTGTCTAAATCTCATCTGTTTGGTCTGCAAAATTTAATGCCTTTCGACATTCCTCTTCAAAGCCACTGGTCATAACCTCTTTAAAGATTCATAATTCGAAGTCTGTTTCTTCCGATCAGGTGGCGAGACATCCAGAAGCCGTTACTGTTGTTACAGGAATTGTTGGTTGCGCAGGATTGAAGGTACGTTCCTGTCCTAGATACATCTGATGTTCTGTGACCAAAGGTTCGAAGCCGTCTCCTGCAGGCTGGAAGCTTAATCGTCCTTATAATCCTTGTAACCTCCAACTTGCGTCAAATACCTTACACGTCGTTGTGTGCCTTCTAGGGGTATCGTATTGTTTCAATTGATTTATTCGGTCTATTTCTAAGTACAGGTCTACATCTAAATCGACAAATATTATCAGTAGGTGATAACGTTTGGACGAGGTTTTTTAATTGAAGGTTTGTTTGTTGCAGCCCACAGTTGCTGCTATTGAAGCTGGTAAAGATATTGCCTTGGCCAACAAAGAGACTTTGATTGCTGGAGGTCCATATGTGTTACCTCTGGCTAAGAAGCATGGCATTAAAATCTTGCCAGCTGATTCTGAGCACTCGGCCATCTTTCAGGTTTTTCCCAGTGTCATTTGTATACAGAAGATCTGTAGTATCATTAACAGGTTTTTTAGTTTGGAACTTGAACAATACGAACATTGAGGGAGTGTTCGTACTATTCAACCGCGGTTGGTTACATTTTCTTTGATCTTCAAGAGTCTGGCTTTTCAGACATTTGACAAATGACTTGAGTGTTCATTGGAAAATGAGACTACGTCATTTTTCTTGTTAGAGTAGTTATTCATTTGTAACAGAGTCTGGGAAATCGCAATCCATAGTATTTCTGTACTTGGCCAGACAACGGTACTGGGTTGTTGAGTTTTGACCGCTGAGCATCGTCTGTTTTTTGTGGCAGTGTATCCAAGGTCTTCCTGAAAGTGGATTGAGGCGTATTATACTTACGGCGTCCGGAGGTGCATTCAGGTATTTGAACAATGTTATATATTCTGTGATTTCCAAGTCCTCATTTCAAAGATGGATGTAATCTGTAGAATCCTTAGTGTTGATCAAGAGTGTTCACACAAAAGAATTCTGAAGAATGGATGGTTTCGACTTGGAGTTTAGGAATGCGTGTTTTCTGAACGCAACATTTGTTTCGGACATTTAAAATTAGGATATGGCAGTTGTAATAGTTGATATGCACTGTCCTTTTAGAGATTGGCCAGTGGAGAAGTTAAAAGATGTTAAAGTAGCAGATGCTTTGAAGCATCCCAACTGGAGCATGGGCCGCAAAATTACGGTTGATTCTGCTACGCTCATGAACAAGGTGGGTCTTCCTGAATTGCATTTTGATGGCTGGCACGACTTTACATGAACAATTTTGTTAACAGGATTTTGTTTCAGCTACCTAGTCTTGGTGGTATCTTCGTTGGATTTTTCATGAGGGAAGTTTTTTCTGTCGGATCACTCGATGCTTCGGAATGACATTGCATCGATTGCTATTCAGGGTCTGGAAGTGATTGAAGCCCATTATCTCTTCGGAGCTGATTACGATGATATTGATATTGTTGTTCATCCCCAATCAATTATTCATTCCATGGTGGAGACGCAGGTTTATCTCATAATCACCGCAGAGAAATTCTTTCCAATCAAACCATGTTTGAAAGAGTTGTTATTTGATTACAGACTGGAGTAACCTTTAACATTTTTCGATTTGGTCAAATGGTTTCTGACTTTTGAGATGATGGATGTGACTTGTCTGATAGGACTCCTCAGTCATTGCCCAATTAGGCTGGCCAGACATGCGGCTACCCATTCTTTACACCATGTCGTGGCCAGAGCGTATTCCCTGTTCAGAGAAGACATGGCCTCGTTTGGACTTTTTCAAGTGAGTTACTTTTGTTTCATATTGTATTCGTATAGTCCAATATCCATTGATTAAATACCACATGACTTTCTCTCTTATTTAATCACCTGCCAAGTGTTCATGTTGATTACTATCAGAAATTGTATGCCTGAACATCAAGGTTACACTAAATCTCAGAGTCAGGTGTCCGCGTCGTTTAGTTGGTTCAGCCCAACTCACAATTTGATGTGATTGTGAGCAGAATGGGAAATCTTACTTTCATGAAGCCAGACCACGCCAAATACCCCTCCATGGCACTCTCTTACAGTGCCGGTCGGGCTGGTGGGACGATGACCGGTGTGCTAAGTGCCGCAAATGAAAAGGCTGTTGAGCTTTTCCTTGAGGAGAGGTACGTACAAAGAAAAACTCAATTTTCTGCTAATTATAATCGTAAGCAAACTTAAACTAAATTAAAAAAGAACTTAACAAAACAGATCTTATCATAGGGATTCTAAACTTAGATTATTTGACGTTGCTTAATTCTGGATATCACCATTTTAGAATCTTTTTGATATCATCATGAAACACATTTAACGGGTATGGGTGCAGTTGACCTTGACGATCTAGTCTGTAGATATGTATTTATCTCTAACAGTTCCATCTCTCCCAATGTAGGATTGGCTACTTGGACATCGTGAAATTGATCGAAAAAACATGTGCAAAGCACAGAGAGGAACTGGTTGAAAGTCCTTCATTGGAGGAAATTCTTCATTTCGATGGATGGGCACGAGACTACACAGCCGAGTTGGTAGAATCTGGCTCGTTCCTGGCAGCAGTCATTGTGTAGTATGTAGATTGCAACATTCTTAGATTTTCAGAAACTGAACTCCTGGTAGACAATGACCTGTTATGACCATTGCTCTGAACAGTGGTCTAGAACAGTTCAGTATTTTGTAGTTTAGATTCCAGAATGTTATTATGTATTGTTAGATTCACATAGATTCTTGAGTGGGACCGTTTTTCAACAAGTCGGACAAAGGTCTGGCAATCTTGGCAAAATCACGAATGAAGCGGCGATAGTAATTCGCTAGACTTATAAATGACCTAACACCCTTTTGTGTAGATGGCTGCTTCCACTCTAGGATTGCTTTCATCCTTTTATGTCCTACTTGATTTCATCCGAGTTCACTAAGTGCCCAAAAACTCAATCTCAAGTTGTGCAAATTCTTTCTTTTCCTTGAGCACTTTTCTAAGGTATCCCACATGTTCCTTTGCAGCCTTCTATAGCACAAAGTTGTCATCTAAGTACATAATATAAGTAAATTGAAAGCCATTCAATTTCTTTAGTACTTATGTACTGAAAAAATATACTTTTGAAAGTTGCTAATACTGAAAGCACATTGCATAATCCGAAGGGCACCTCTAGGTATGGCTTTAGACCTTTTTTCTCAGTAAAATTTGATTTTGCATCTTTTTGTTTAGATTTGTTCTCTTCTATTTGGATTTGCTTAGTTTTGTCTTTCATGTCCTATTTTGTTTAGTTTCGTTTAGTTTGTTCTAGTCTGTTTTGTCCTATTTTGTGATGAAACCTTATGTTATTAAGGATTAGAAGGATCTTCGACTTTTGAGATAGTCTAGTCATGTTTTATTGGTATCAAAGCAAGTGTTATATTGTTTACCTTTGGTAGCATATTAATAATCATCATTTAGTCCAAGGTTAGTTGTCATCACATTGGATATTATGTTGAGGCTACCATAAGCTATTCTTAAAAAGTCAATAGAGAGGTGAAAAGATACTACAATAGTAGAGTCCAATAGAGAAATTACAATATGGGAGATATAGCAGAGCAAGTCCAGATAAAAGATCAAATACGTCACCTCTTAGGGTGGATAGCTACTTTGCAAGGACAAATAGAAGCTTCGAAGATAAGAAAGTCAATATTTGCTAGGTTGAAATTCAGTAAGTCTAATACATACTCTGGAACTTTAAGACAAGAAGATGTATATCAATGGCTCTTCAACATGTGACAATATGTTCAATTATCTAGGGCAAATACCACTGAAGGAATCATATATGCAGCTAATTATTTGAGAGATATGGCAGCCATTTGGTGGTGATATCAAGTTCAAAGTTATGGAGCTTAAGGTGGATTTTGTAACTAGGAGGAGTTTGAGACCGAGTTTAGGAATCAATTTTGGCCCATTAATACAAAGAAAATATCACGCAATCAGTTGGCAAATCTTACAAAAACTAGGTCTATGCAAGATTATGTCCTCGAATTCAAGTCCCTATGTCTCCAAATTGGCAATGTTTTAGAGATAAAGATGATGGATCAATTCCTATAAGGTTTGAAATCTGAAGTCCAAGGAGAGGTGAATTAAGGGATCCACAAACATTTGAAGAGGCAATTTAGATTACAGAGAGGGTCAATGCTATAGATTTCAAAAGTCGTGGAGTATGACCTATAGCACAAAGTCTTATACCGCTATCTAATATTACGGCACAACAACCAACGCTAATGGAGATTGATGCCTTACAAAGATCATTAACACTACAAAGATGACAAATGTTGGTACAAAAAGGATTATGTTTCTATTGTCAAGAGCTAGGCCATCAGATCGGAGGTTGTCCAAAACATCAAAGTACAAGTACCAACAAGACAAGGCAAATTCACAGTCTTGAAACTCACAAAGTTGATAATGAATCAAAGCAGGAAAACAGGGCTCCCTAATAAAGGCACCGGGAGCCAATACTAGGGATAGCCATTGTCTCTCAGAGACAAATGGCATAGCCTTGGACAACTATAAAAAAAATCGATTGGTGCATCTAATGGGATTACTAAAAGGACAACCATGTCAAGTGCTTATAGATTGTGGCTATATGGAAAATAACATTTCAATTGAAATCACCAATCAGTTTAGAATTAAAACCAAGGAAATCAAGGAAAGAAGTATATACCTTGCATATGACTGAGAGAATGTATTGAATGAGATGTGTGAAAAAGAAACCTTGAGATTGACGAATACTTACGTCATAAGAAAGACATTCAAGGTGACAAAGTTAAGGTATGATATTATGATTGGTGTGTAATGGCTATAGATGGAAAATAATCAAGTTGATTAGATAGCAAAGAATTTTTCTTTTAAGATGAAAGACGCAAGGTGACTCTTCACATGTCTATATCAAGTGAAGAAAAAAGACAATCTGTAAGTAAAGACTTACTTATAGGAATAGCCTTTATAAAGAAAAAAATATAGTATTAGCAACCAATATGTATGGTGGTTCCAAATCTTGTGTCAATGATGGGAAAGACAATAAAAGGCATAGAACGAGCAGAACAATTCATATAAGAATATCAAAATGTCTTTCCAACTGACCTACCTAGTAGCATACATCTTGATCAAGGTACCTCCTTTCAAATAGAACTATTACTTATAGCCAAACTAAGAAGTCGACTAATTTATTGCCTAACACTGAAAGAACTTGAGGAGCTACGGAAGACATTAGATGAACTCTTAGAGAAAGGCTTCATTCAAGAAAGCACATCACGATGGAGAGCACCTATATTCTTTGCACCTAAGAAGGATGGTGGACTTTGCCTTTGCATCGATTATTGAGGTTTCAATAAGCAGACTGTTAAAAATACATATCCACTTTTACATGTGGATGATCTTTTTGATCAACTTCAAGGTGCAACAATCTTTAATAAATTAGATCTTTGGAGCGGTTATTGGCAAATACCTATTACAAGAGAAGATGTAGAAAAGATGGTATTTTGTACCCGCTATAGATATTTTGAATGGCTGGTTTTACCCTTTAGCCTCACCAATGCTCCAACTTCTTTCATGTGTCAAATGAACAAATTATTTTGAGACCTTTTGGATAAGTATGTATTTATCTTCATTGATGATATCCTCATATATAATAAAACCTTTAAAGAACATGAGTAATACCTATAAGAGATGCAACATCAGATGTAAGATAGTCACTTCTATTGCAAGCAATCAAAATGTGAACTTTGGAAGTCAGAAGTCATCTTTTTGGGACATGTGGTGTCATCCAAAGGCATGCATATGGAGCAAGATAACATAAAAGCAGTCAAAGATTGGCCAACTTCTAATAATGCTTCTGAAGTTTATTCATTTTAAAGCTTTGTTAGATACGATTGCCATTTTATTTGTTGATTTGCTCACATTGTTGCCTCATTGATAAGCATATTGGAGAAAGGTGTCACATTTGAATGAAAACTCGAGCAACAAAATGCCTTTGATAAGTTAAAAAAAGGCACTCATTATTGCTTTAATATTGCAATTGTATGATCTTAATCTCTTTTGTACACTTGATATTGATGCTTTCAACTTTGCTATTGGAGTGGTTCTTCAACAAGACTTTCGTAGAGACCTTCAAGATGTGGTGTATGAATCACGTAAGCTTAGAAGGGCAGAGCACAATTATTTTGCACATCATGAAGAACAATTAGCGATTGTACATACCACAAAGGTGTAGCAATACTATATATTAGGAAAGCTAGTGGTCATTTGGATTAACCATCGACTATTGCTACATGATTTGGATTTAGAAAATATAAAATTGTGGCATCATTGTTAGGAAGAATAATTGTAGCTTTTTGATATCCAGCTTAAGTACAAGTAAGGGTAACAACATATTGTGTCAAACAACTTATCATAAAGACTAGACTTAAAAGTCAAATCAAAAGATAAGAAAGAAGTCACTACTATTAATAGTATTATTTTGGATCTAATCAAAGAGATAAAATAGAAAGAAGCTATATAAAAAGATAGTTATTTCAAGATGGTTAGCGATGAACTAAAGATAGATGATATACAATATTAGGATTATATTCTTAGTAATGGCTTATTCTATTTCAAGTAACAAATTTATGTACCCAATAATATTAAACTCTACATGCGCTTACTTTAAGAGAGATACAACAATCCAATATCTAGACATTTATGATGATAGAAGACTTTAGAATGGATCTCAAATACATGATTTTGGATAAGGTTGGATTGTGATATTTGAGCCTTTTTATACTCTTGCAAGTCATGTCAATGTAACAAAGCACCCAATGTTGTCGTATTATGTACTATCTTGCTTGAGAACATACGCGACATTTGGCTGTGGAAGATAAAAAAATGTTTTGCAAGTATCTAGATAGGCTAAAGGATTTCAACCATCTAAATACAAACTATTTTGGATTTCAATGTAAAAGCTTAATCCCAATACAAAATGCTTAGAAATATTATTTTCAATAACTTCAAGATATTATAAGCACAAAGTCTTTTGTTATTTGTTAGTTTTATTTTTTTATTTTATTTTATTTTATTATTTTATTATTTTATTTATTTTTATTTTATTTTATTTTTTTAAATCCTAACACTAGACAGCGAGCTTCGGCAAGCTGTAATTCTCAATCTAATTGTCCAATTGTTGTAAACTTCTACTACTAATATCTTTGCAAGCCTTCTAAATGCTTAAGAAGTTTCAATCCAATCTAACTTACAGATTGCAAGAAAATGTCGTAAATCCATATTGATATATCTTGACTATCGCCTAGAAGTCTTCGACTTACTACGCCAAAAGTCACCTTATTCTAGTTAGTAGATCTTCAGATATTACAGAAATCCTAAACAATCCCAATCTATTAACTTCCGATATTTTTTTATGCTAATGGTCAAATAACCTCTATTTGTTCCGTCAGATTAATACAAACTTTTGTATGTACTCGACATACTCAACCTTCTAGATACCTCTAAATTTCAACCGCAAAAGTTTCTCCAATTTCACAAAACAATCAAGACTATCAACCTTAACTTTATTGCAAAAAAAAAATCCAAATCACCAATATAAACACTGACTTTCAGCAATGATTGCAAAAGTCTTTCCAAATCCTATGAAAATCCAATTCTACACCTTTCGGAGGAACTTGAAGCTAGCTCTCTGATCCCAAAATCTTGATCTCTGAATGCCCTTTTTCTTATCCTCTCCTCCTTTTTAACTCCGTGTGGCCCCATTTTCTCTTGCCTTGGACTTTGAATTGGAACAACCGATGGTGCCTCCCCAGAATTCCTATTTTTAAGAGGATCTTTCTACGAAAAGG